TCAATCTTGCCTGATATCATTTGACTCGTCAACATGGATAGCACAATTGCAGACATGCAGCTTAAGGAAGTGCAGTCAGAGAAGGAATAGGTGACCACCAGTCAGAAGAGTGGCAGGGAGTTAGTCAGGAAAGCCCACAGTGCATCAAGAAGAGATTCTATGTTCTGAGGAAGGGTCACCAGACCCGAAACATTAACTCTGTTTTTTTCTTTCACAGATGCTGCCAGACCTGCTGAGCTTTTCCAGCAAATTTGTTCCTGATTTACAGCATCCGCAGTTCTTTCGGCTTTTATTGAGAGATTCTATGTGTTGGAAAGCAGTTAGAGTTACAGTTCCTTTGGGGAGCACAGCACGAGCCCAGCTGCACAACAGAGGAGCAAAAGAAAGGGAGAACAGTAGTGGCAGGAGATTTAATAGAGAGGGGTGAAGACAGGCATTTCTGTGGCTGCAGATGTGACTCCAGGATGGTGTGTGGCCTGCCTGGTCGAGAATGTCATTGAATGGCTGTAGGGTGTTCTGAAGGGGAAAACAGTATTGCACTGCTAGCGGAGCCAATCTGTCCTCTTGGTTGGATGTAAAGCGTTTCATGGAAAGCATATTCAAGGAAGGTGAGCAGAGATCCCCCTCATTTACAGCATGCAGTTCAATATCTTTCCTTCAAACAACATCACTAAAAAAAGCACATTAACTGGCTCCCTATCAGATTGCAGTTTGTGCGGTCATGCTGCATGTAAAATGGCTTCCATGATTTCTAATGTACAACCGTGAATATAATTCAAAAGTTCAATAGCTTTAAAGCACTTTGGGATGTCCCGTGTGGTCAAAGACTCAGTATAAATGCAAGCACTTTCCTTTTTATAGCTAAATACAAATTTGTAATAGATCAGAACAATACATACTGTGTTATTGAGTTCTTTTTTTCTCTATGCTAATTAATGAACATTGGAACGGGGATGGCAAACACCACCACAAAAGGAAAATCTGTCTCTATGTTATGTTCTTTAAGAAGGTTCATTTCACCATTACACAGTATGCAGTCTCCAAGGTGACCCGCTTACTGTTGCGACCTGGTGTTAGTTTTTAATTTACTGAATGCGCAGAGGTTGTCTTTGAAAGAATCTGATATACTATTTTGAAGTAAGATACTTACAAATCTCTGAACACTTTGCATGATTTACAAGTGAATAATTAAGTGCAGTTACTTTTAGCATAAACAAACTATTAATAGTTTCAGGCATTTCCTAGTTCTATGTAAAGGGACATACTCAATTTGGAGACACCCTCTTCTTCTATAGAGAAGATCGCCTGATCTTAAAATAATACTGAGCACATATTATCGAAGTTTATTAAAATATTGGTATTTCATTTTAAAATATTTTCTTTTAGAAATATATAATTAGCCAAGAGACACATGGTATGTTATAAAACAAACCCCTACAAAACACATTTTTTCATAATCCAATTCTCCTTCTCTGCCCTTTCTTTCCTTTCAAGAGGGTTCTTTTGCGCCAAGACTGAAAACATGTCTAGGAAAGTTATTCTCAACTCCCAACCATGCTTCCTTGCAGCTCTTTGCAAGAAGTCACACAAAAGCAGACCTGATCATCCTCCTCCTCAGACTGTGCTTCTCTCCTTAAATGGAAACAGCCAATTTTGGCTTGTTACCTCCATACTATGACATAGTTAGGATCAGAATGCACGCAAGAATTATAAATAAGAAGCAATACCTATAACATGAGAAGCTTTCATTCCCAAGACTGTTCCCTTCTGATAAGTTTCTATTTTTGTGAAACAACTGTAATCATTCTCTATTGCAGCAATTTTAAATACTTTTAGATTAATAAATAAAGATATTTTGAAGCCATCTGCATCATTTAAAATCCAGAAGTTGTTTATGGCAAGTCATCAGTAGCCATCTAAATTACATTATGGGTCAGATCTTGTTTCTCATGGTGTTCTATCTTAATTAGATTTCTCTGTGCACTTATCTTTTATTTTTTCTCTTTCCCTTCTAAGTTGCTACAAGCGTGGGTTAAGAACAATGCAACGAAGCCAACAGGGGATAGAGGATTTTGGTGAATGAGAGAAATGGTGTACTGCTCTTACCTTTGAGATTTCAGGATTGAGGAATAAACAAGGAGGAGGACTGAGAACAGTGTATTAGAGAGATCAAACTCAGTCAAATTCAATTAAAGATGAGAAGCAAAGAGAGAGAAAGCAAAAGAATAGAAATATAGAAATATAGAAATGTTACTTTTTTTTGAATCTCCTAAAACAACTCTCAATAAAGAAATTAGACTCTGTAATTGTCTACACTCTGAGCCAGTGAGACTGACTCGGAGTCATGAATCACATGATTCAAAGGATAATTAATGTAATTTAATTACCTAATACTGCATAGTGCATTTAAAGGGAAATAAATATGCAAATGCAGCAACATCATGAAAATTCGACAGAAGGTCAACATTAGAGATTGTTTTCACAAAGCAGATGTTAGAGCTTGGCAATTCAACTAGTAGCTTTTATTTGGTCAAAGAACATTTTAATACTGGCATGTTTTGTCAATGTTTTAGTTTTTCAGCAAAACTTGGCCCTATATTGAAAATAGAAAGCTTAAGAACAAATTAATTTATATTATAGATATTTTGAGTACATTAGAAAAGATGCAAAAAATAAAGCGACTACTGCAGGAAATCCATTACTCACCATCACAACAGCAAAACATTTAGAAAATGTGTTCAGTTTAAAATAACTGCTTTAAATACCAATTCATAAATCAACTCAATTGCTGCATTTTAAATAAATTTTTTACTTTATCAGTGATTGTATTTTAGTGGGAAAAGTTTTTATTTTGCAGCAAGATTACTCTTTGGAAATTCAAGACTTTTGAAACTACTTTGATTTTAGTTCCTTTTACATTTCCTTTTTACATGAATAGTATTAATTATACCTTCATCTTACGCCCAACTCTGAAATGAAAGAAACAGAGCATGATGCATATCAAGGCAACACCGTGCTGCTGACATTTTGCCAAAAACAAGATTAGAAGATCAATGTGACACACTGGACAGTTTGTCAGTAGATAATGCCAACCAGTCATTTTTGAGATTTAAGAAAACTTATTTGTCCAAGTTGTGGGGAATTTTGGGTCTTAGGCTTGATTTGTCACAATACATTCAGTTAAGTGCTACTACTTTTCTGCTACTGACGGTATTTACAGGAATAAGTTTGGCCTCAATAGTTTAAAGGAAGAAATATGTAAACATTATGACTTTACAAAAAAGGAAATGTTTATACTTCACAGCAGCCAGCAAATATCTGGGAAAATTTAATCCTCCTCTATTGCTGATACTTGACCAAATGAAAATTACTGTATGTGAAACTGAATTTATCTAACTGTATACCATCAACCGAAATTAGGAATATGAACTATTACAGTACTAAAGACAAGTTAAGAGTATCCTAATACTGTGCAGATTAATACAGAGAGTCCTGGATTTTCATACAACTGTCAAACTCATAGGCCCACTATAAGTCCATGGCAGTTCTGACCAACAGACCAACTCCTTTTGTCCTACCTGCTACAATAGCTTTGTCTGATTATTTCCAAATCATACTTGATGCAGGTCCACCCTTCCATATTCCACCTTCTATTCAAGAAAATAAACAGGTCCTGTTCATTATTACTTGTATTCCTAATGGCATCCACTGGCTATCTTTATTTCTAATAGAATAATATTCACATTTATCTTTTGATGTCAATTTAATGCCAGCATTAATACATTCACTTTAAACAGGTTTATAATAACGACAATCAGAACATCTCAGCTGTCATCTACCTAAACAACGTGACAAATTAGGGTTTAAGGGCAATCCACCTCAAATGACACAATTTTTCCAACATAATAAGAAAATGTGCTCTACAAGGTCAACCATAACTCTTACAGAAAGAATTGCTCAGCTTCACCACATTGGTCATCCTCTGTGAATGTCCTGATAGTGATATACAAAACCAAAGGGATGCAGTTTTAAACACAAGTCATACATGTTTCCCCCAACTTCTTAAGCTTCTGTGTTTCTTACAAATGGTGTTACAGTAAAATCTTATTCAGAAAACATTTTCAAAATAATAACAAATGATTGCAAAGCTTAATAACTGTAGTATTGAATCATAACACTAAATGAGGGAAATAAATGCTGCTATTTAAAAATAAATCCTCCAAACTTTAAAAAAAAATTGAAGCATTGACAAGAATTAATCATGTCTGCAATTCACAGTAAGTGTCTCTGAACTGGGCATATTTAAGCCCCTTGGTTAAATATGGGGTCTCTAATAAAAACATTAATTCGGACTGTTGTTAGCAAACTATAAATAAGCCACGGGCAGCTTGTATTTACTGGAAAGAACAAATACACATACTGAACACTGCTTTCTGAACTAGTGTTTGAAAGAACATTTGTTGTAGCACACAGGCTGCCACTGAAAATGGTCAGACTATACTTTTCCCAGGAAAAGTAACAAAAATTGATTATAAAAGATCATTTATATTCATTTATCCAAGTTAAACATTTCTTTCTAGACTTATGAGAAGACTCCAAAAGTTAAACTACATCTTTTGCAAACAAAGTCACAAATAAAGTACATTTTGAAAGGTTCTGATATCACTCAGACAATACTGTCCACTTTTAAAAGTAATTTTCAATCGTTTAACATTAGGTGATACAGAAGTGTGAAGACTGACAATGATTTAAAATTCTTATTAACACCCATTTTCAGTCATATTAACCAAACTTGGCAAAGTCACCACATTAATAATATCAAGGGATGCTGTTTAAAGCAAATTTAAAAAACATATTTTAAAATGTTGTGCAATTACACTCAAAGATATATTGACAAGTTGGAAAATAGTTGATCATGTCTAATTTAAATCATTCAACTGCTCTCTTTTATTTGCATGGCATCATGCACTGTGCACCTAATACCAACTCTTGTTTTACAGAATAATTTTCTTGGAGACCAGAGACTTTCTCTCAGCTTTCTCCTAGCCAACATGAACCCACTCATCTGGACTTTGTGCCTGCTGCTAATTAGTCTCATATCTGCAGGAGGAAAGAGACAACAAGTCCATGCCGAAAGCAACGCTGAAATGCACACTGTTGCTCATAATCGATACAGGCGTTCACCTGATACCAGCAACAAATGTTCTTACACTTTCTTGGTTCCACATCAAAGGATAACAGGTCCTATCTGTGTAAGTTCAAAGAGTCCAGACACAGATAACCATGGGATAAATAAAATAGATGTGGAAGAGCTGAAGGAGATTATGTCCAAACAGAAGAGGCAAATTGAAAACCTTCAGCTGTTAGTGGAAGTGGATGGAGGAATAGTGAATGAGGTGAAACTACTACGGAAGGAAAGTCGGAATATGAACTCACGTGTAACACAGCTTTACATGCAGCTCCTACATGAAATTATTCGCAAAAGGGACAATTCGCTGGAAATCTCTCAGCTGGAAAACAAAATTCTGAATTCCACAGCTGAGATTCTGCGAATGGCTACCAGATACAGACAACTGGAACAGAAGTATGCAGTACTGTCTGCTCTTGTTAATAATCAATCTGTGATCATAACTAAACTAGAACAGGAATGCATACGTAGTCTTACTCCAAAGGAATATGAACCACCACCTCTTGTACAAGTTGTACCACAATCCATACCTCGCAGCAGGCAATACCAGACCAATTTATTTGGCAGTAATGAAATACAGAGGGATCAAAATCCTGCATTTGCACGGGAACGAGGGCTTCGCTCGAAAGCACCTTCACATGAACCTTCTCCTACAACTTCTACCATTACAGAATCACCAGTTACTGAAGGGTTAGATGGTATGTTTGCATAATTAAAAAAGGTGTTGCTATTAATACAAGACTGTTGTGTAATGCAATATTTCCAGCTTTCAAAACTGTGCTGCTAAAGGTTCTTATGTCACACTAATGATTCCACTTACAGGCCATAGTTGATTTCCTAAATATCTTTAGAAATACCATTTCAGTTCACATTTCAGTCATGTGAACCTTCACTCCTCCTGACACACACTAATCATAAATAATTACTTTGTTTTTCAATGTGGTCAATTGAGGGTTATGTAGAACAACCATATTTTGTTGAAGCTGAGATGTTTGCCATGAGAGCTTTGATAATTGGTTAACCTTAAAATTGCATTGCGTTCGATTTTCTTTTTGATGTGCACAAATAGTAGAATCTGAACAGAAGAAATTTTGAAAAACAGAAAATGTAGATGTTACTCCTGATAGTACTGTGATTACAAATCAGAATGCTTTCAGTCAATCTTTTAGACAAAGAATAATAATATATCTGCTGTATTACAGACAAATTATAAACATAAGGTTACCAACAGTTCACCATCAGGCTTCAAATATGGGTTATCATATAGAAATGGACTTCAAGTACAAAGCTTGAGCTGCACATTAATGTTTACATAACTCACTGCTAGTTATGTACGTTTCCCTATAAGTTATATTTTGAAGAAAAATTTTTAAATATGTTAAAAATTTAAAAAGTGAACAAAAGTCTTCTTATTGCCATTTCTGACTATCATGTATGCGATTTTATTGTGGAAGCAGCAAGAAATCATTGATACTGTCATGAATAAGGTATTTAACCAGTTGTTCAGTCAGTGATGAAGGAACAATGTCTGCTGTTCACTTCACTCAAGCCTTCCACAGAGACTTTGCTGAGTTTTTGAGTGGAGGCATGCTGTCATTGGACATTTGATCCAACGCAGTGACCTCTACAGAGAACCTTTGGTGTATGAACAGCTCAAGGAACAGTGAGGTTCTTCAATCAGGTTGAAAATTCTGACACGAGACATGCAGACCAAGGACTACAGGAAATACAAATCAATTTACATGACATACAGAATCAAAACAAAGAAAATGATTGAAAGTTGCGATTAAGACACACAAAAAGGAGACAAAATAAGTTTTCAAAAATATTTACATTTCAACAACTAATTCAGAAGGAAATGAAACTCAACATCTGAAATATTAAATATGCACTATTTGTGAGATCTTTTGCCAGTAATTATTATTTATCATAGCATTAAAAAGGGATTATAACTGATTGTGCCAGCTCTAACATTTCCTGCCTTTCTCAGAGGCTAAGTATGGTACTTTCATGTTCTTACAATGATTTCAGTGGAAGTCATTGATGCATATTTAGCCACACAAATGCCTGGCATTGACCATTTCCAATAATAGATGCTAACTATCATTGCTTAATATGCAATGGCATTATCATCACAAAATCTTCCACTGTCAACATCCTGGCAATTTAAGATTAACTAGCAACTGACTGGACTAACCATATAAATATTGTGACTACAAGAACATGTCAGAAGCTAGAAAGTCTGTGGCGAGTAACTCACATTCTAACTTCCCAAACCCTGTCCACTATCGATAACACACAAGTAGGAGGTTGATAGAACACACACCACTTGCCTGGATGAGTGCAGCTCCCGCAGCACTCAAGAAGTTTTGACATCATTCTGGACAAAGCAACCTGCTTTATTGGCACCCTATCCACCACCTTCAAAATTCACTCTCTCTACCATCGACGCAGTGGCATCAATGTGTACCAGCTACAATGTGCACTGTAGCAACTCAGATAGTGCCTTCTAAACCCCTGTGATCTCTGCCAACTAGAAGGACAAGGTAAACAGTTAAGACAATAAGACCAGAAGAAATAGGAACAGGAGCAGGCCGTTCAGCCCCTCAAGCTTGCTCAACCATTCAATACGATTATGGCTGATCCAACACTCCTCACATCCACATTCATGCTCTTTCCCCATAACCACTGATTCCCTTACTAATCAAAAATCTACCTCAGCCTTCAATACAGACAAGGACTCTGCCCCTTCGAAGATTCTCAACTCTCAGAGAAGAATTTCCTCCTCACCTTCATTCTGAAACTATGCCCTCTGGTTCTTAGTCTCTCCCATGAGGGGAAACATCCTCTTAGCTTACTCTGTCAAGCCCCTTAAGAATTCTATATATGTCAAATAGACTACCTCTGATGCTTCTAAATTCCAATGAGTACAGTCCCAACCTATTTAACTTTTACTCGTAAGAGAATTCCTCCATGCCGTAGATCATCCTAATGGGCCTTCTTTGAACTGCCTCCAATGAAATAATATATTTTCATAAATAAGGGGACCATAACTGCTGACAGTACTCCAAATGTGGTCTCACTAGCACCTTGTATAGCTGCAGTAACACTTGCCCACTCATACTCCAAACCCCTTGAAATAAGGGATAACCTTCCCTAGTCTTCTTGATTATCTGCTGCACTTGCTTTCTGGATTTCTGTCCTTTGTGCACAAGTATCCACATGTCCCTTTGTGTGGCAGCTTTCTGCAGATTTTCTCCATTTAAATAATACTGTTCTTTTGTTATCCCTTCCAAAATGAACATCTTCACATTTTCCCACATTATACTCCATTTGCCAACATTTTGCCCACTTTCTTAACCTATCAATATCTCTCATTAAACTACAAGCATACTGCTCTTAACTTACCTTTCCACATATTTTTGGGTCTTCTACAAATTTGGCGACAGTACATCCTGTTCCTTCTTCCATGGCATGAATATATATTGTAAAGAGTTGCAGTCCTAGCACTGATCCCTGTGGAACCTCACTAGTTACAAGTTGCCAACCTGAAAAGAATCCCTTATCCCCACTTGCTGTTTCCTGCCCATGAGCCAATTCTCTGTCCATGCCAATATACTATCTCCAATGTGAACACTACCACTTGCAAATTCACTTCCAAGCCACATGACATCCTGACTTGGAACAATATTGCTGTACGATCACTAATGTTGAGTCTATATCCTGAAACTCCCTTCCTAATACCACTGCAGATGTACCTACACCTCATGGACAACAGCAGTTCAAGGAAACGGAGCATTTATGCTTTCTCAAGAGCCATTAGGGATGTGTAATAAATGTGGCCTAATCCGTGACTCCCACATTTAAGAAATAAAGATTCTTCAGGGTAAAAAAAAGTTCTTCAGGGAAAAAAAATAACATGAATTAGATATTCTTTGCCATTCTACAGGATAACAAAATTGGAACCAGCAGGCAAGCACAGAACAATATTCCACTTGGACTAGTATTTTGGGTCCTGGATATATTCCAGAAATCCTCATGAAAGTTCTTAATAATCTTACTTAACTTCCCTTGCCAAGAGAGAAGACTAAAACTGATTTTTTGAAAAGCCAGGAGAATTAAGATAGCTTCAAATTTTGTTTGAAAGGATTTCTTCAAAAGTGAACTTTCTCCCTATGAAGTTGAGTCATATTTTTGGATTTTCATCAGATTATCCCTACTACAAGGAAAGAATTGTGAACGAATTATGTTTAATTGTTGCATTTTAAGAAACTTGGACTGGTTTACAAAGTAACACACTTGCAGCCATTGAGGCACAGTAAGAAAAAAACTTTAATCTGATTTATACAGGATATGGGTCACATAAATAGGCCGCTTCACCCAATCAGGCGATGACTACGTTTACAGATATTTTAAACAACCTATTCAGATATGAGACAACACATGCCTGGGGCAACTGACTTGAACCAAGACCTTCTGACCTAGAGGTAGGGACATTAGCACTCTTGAACCATAAGAGTCCTACGCCTATGTTTAAATGCTTCACTCAAGTCTCATCCTAAGTTACTTCATGATAATCTGTATAATTCTCCATTAGCTTCTCTCTCATACAGCAAGTTGATTAGAAATTTTTTTTTATTTTCACTCATTAGATGTGGCTGTCACTGGCTGGGCAGCATTTATTGCCCATCCCTACCTGCCCTTGAGGAGGTAGTGATGAGCTGCCCTTTTGAACGGCAGCAGATGACATGCTGTAGATTGATCCACAATGCCGTTAAGAAGGGAATTCCAAGATTTTGACCCAGTGACAGTGAGGGAATGGCGATATATTTCCAAGATAGGATGGTGAGTGGCTTGGAGGGCAATTTGCAGATGATGGTGCTCTCACGTATCTGCTCCCTTTGTCCTTCTAAATGGAAGTAGCCATGGATTTGGAAAGTGCTGTCCAAGGATCTTTAGTGAATTTCTGCAGTGCATCTTGTAGATAGTACACAATGCCGATATTGAGCATTGGTGGCGAAGGGAGAGGGTGTTTGTGAATGTGGTGCCAATCAAGCAGGCTGCTTTATCCTGGATGGTGTCAAGTCTCAAGCGTGTTACTGGAGCTGCACCCATCCAGGCAAGAGGACAATATTCCATTACACTCCTGACTTGCGTCTTGTAGATAGTGTATAGGTTTTTGGGAGTCAGGAGGTGAGTTACTCACCACAGCATTCCAAGCCTCTGACCTGCCATTGCAGCCACTGTTTATTTGATGAATTCAGTTGACCTGCTGTCATAATAAATTATATCAAGACTTACTAAATTAATTTCAATGGTAATCCCCAGGATGTTGTTAGTGGGAAATTCAGTGATGGTGACACCATTGAATGTAAAGGGGCTCAGAGCTGCGATTACACACCTCTGGAGCAGGCAGGACTTGAGCCTTAAACTCCTGGCTCAGAGGGAGGAACATTACCACTGCACAACAAAAGCCTTATGTCTCTACTTAAATGCTTCATTCAAGTCTCATCCTGTTTATCCTCATGAAAATCCAGTGTAATTCTCCATTTTTCTGAAGAAGGGTCTCGGCCCGAAACGTCAGCTTTCCTGCTCCTCTGATGCTGCTTGGCCTGCTGTGTTCATCCAGCTCTACACCTTGTTATCTCTAATTCTCCATTAACTTCTTTCTCATATGCTTGCCTCGCCTCCCCTTAAA